GATTCACCTTCCTAGAAGCTACTGGGTTAGCCCCAGAGGGATGAGGCTTTACAAAGGCAAGAATCTGGGACAGAGAGGTTTTAGGAGGAGTTTGTCAATGGGCTACTGAAAAGGAGCAGAAAGGTACAATGTTTTAAATGACCCTTTAGCCTTCATGCAGATCTTCAGGAGAGGTGATTTTTCCATATTTGTCATGAAGGGTGTTCCTTTTTAATACCGGGAATGGTGCTACCCCCGGGGATGGAGCAAGGGGACCATTTGGCCATCATTTGATGTATGGGAGAGCAGGAATTCCCACAATTTCACTTGCTTCAGGAACACTTTTCATTGTTCTTTTATGTAGTTTTGAGGTGGGTACAGCCCTGACCTTCCAGACTTTGCAGGAAGATGTCACCCCTTCTGTCTTCCTGCTCCTTATTATAGCAGCAGATCCTGGCTGTAGGTGCAGGCATACAAGGAGCCAGGCAGCTACCCAGGCATGAATCACTGCCTGGGTGCTCCCAGTGCCCCCCCCCCCCCCCCCCCTTCCTCTTCCAAGGAAATGGGAAGGGAAAGCACCAGCAGAATTCTAGCCGACTTGCTAGAAACAGTTCCTTCATGATGTTTAACAAAGGCTTCAGACTGCAATTAGCACAGCTCTGATTTGTAAAAAGGAATTGAATGGTGCTTCTCCCATAGGATCTGGGAGAATAAAGAGGAGAGGTAAACATAGGATATAACTAACTAAACTAACTAGTTATGAAATGATGTTTAAAATCCCTGTTCAGCAGAAACTAGCTAAAGCACCATATGATTTGCAAGCTGAACGGTATTTGCTTAACAAGGCACTTGTGCATGTTACTGCTATTAAGTAATCAATACACCTGGGTGCAGGGCTACACACAGTTTATTGTTCCTCCTTTGCTTTGCTCTGACTCAGCACTGAATCTATATGATTGTGCAGGTATTACCCACGCAGCTAGAAAGTTTCTTGCGATACACAGTGGTGTAGCCAAGAAAAACAACAGCAAACAGATCAGGCGTATTTTTCCGTCTGACTCTTGCAAGGTTGTTTTATTGTCTTCTTTCTATTTAACTAGAACCTCAGCTTGTTGCTTCTCTGCAGCCCAACTCTTCACATCACCTACTGCCTTCAAGAACGTGTCTAACAGCCAATTCATCTTTCAGCGTGTTCACACTTGCACAATTACAGTAAGTGGAAGAAATTTCCTCTATTCTACAGCAAACAATGGAAAGGATTGCATTTACCTTTCTGCTTGAAGCCAGAAAAGAATGGCTTCCAGAGCAGGTTATGAAACTCCCTGCTTCTCAGGTCAGGTTTGTGTCACAGGAAGGTGATCATGTGCTGTCACTCTCCACAGCCAGTTACTTATCAGAGCTGCAATAGCCATGTCCTAGAGACCCAGTTTTCTTCCTCAGAGATCTTAAACCATAGCATGTTTTCCACTGCAAAAGAAATAAATTTCAATGCCTAAAAATGCTGCAGCTCATCTTTTCCACCTGGTTTTATGATGAGATGTAGTATTTTGCCCTGTGTTCACCTACAGGCAGCCAGCACACAACTAGAAGAAAGAGCAACCCTTGTGCACTAGCACATCATCTGGGCTCTAATCAAAGACATTAAGGAAACTGCCCTCCTGATGTGGTACCAAACACAGGTGCCTAGTGGGGCTTTCTGCTCTGAAGCATCCCTTTAGGCCTGAGCTCAGCAAGGTGAGCTCGACCTACTGGAACGAGTAACCATCTAAAATTAGGCATGTGCTTAAGCACTTTGTTAGGCTCAAGGTTCCAGGTTTGGCTGCAGACTTAGTCTCTTCCAGCACTGCTCTCAACAATGAGCTCCTTCCATTCCATCCCCACCCATCCGAGTCTTTGGGGAATGTTGCCATGGATTTCCACGGGACACAAAAGAGTCCATATTGGAAGAACCCTGTTAAGGTTGCTAGGCGTAAATATTGACTTAACGGCTCTTCCGCCTTTTTTCTTTTTTAAGAACAGATTTGTTGGCCATGGCTGGAAAAATAAAATGATGGAGTATGCAGTGATTCACTCTGGCACTCACACAAACATGCAGATCAGTTGGCTGGCAGCTCGCTCCTCTGTTAGCAGAACATTGCTTCTAAAATGTATCACTTCGTTTTGGCAGCAAGAGCATCCAAGCCCACAGACACAAAATCTCCTACCTTCCATGTACTCCGCATGGGGACCGCTGACCTTCCCCAACACAGAACATTGGATTAATAGCTCAAACAGCTTTTTAGTTGAGACACACAGAAGGACTGACAATCATTTCACACTGAAAGCTCAGCCCAGAGATCTCCCTTCTTGCACCCACTCTCCTGAGTTTGCTGGCACAAGAAATGACCTCAAAATGAACTGCAGGTAAGACTTTTCATTCAGAAGTCTTTTTATTTGAAAGCAGTGTGAAGGCTGCTTCACAGACAATAAATATTAAAACAGACAGTAACTGCTGTGACAGAAGTTCACACAGGAAGCCAGAAGCAGAAGTGAGAGGGGACCAAGGGTCATTTGATTCATGTTTTCATCATCAGGTGCTACTCCTACAGTACTCCATGCATAAACGTTTAATTCTGACATTAAAAATCATAATTTAAAATATGACTGCAACAACACACAATGTGATTCAAACCCTTTTCCATATTGGTTCTGCCAGATCTGGATCGTTTGGCAGGACTGGAAGGGGACAAACCTCCACCAAGGCAGCCTTGGCAGACAAAGCATATGTGATACTTGTGTGTACCAGTCCTAGTCATGGCCAATACAATCCCTGACTGTCCCTAAAAACCTGCTCAAGACACACAGGGGCACAAGCAGCTCACTTGAGAGCTGGCAAAGCTGCAGAGAGTATGTTCAAGATCCCACACTCCAGAACCAGAGGAACCTCAAGAGCTGCATTTCACGGCACTTGGCAGGTATCTGCCAGAAAGTCAGTACCTCATCAGCAGGAAGACAAAAACCTAATGACAGAATTTAGGAGCAGAAAGTCCAGTGGCAGATGAGAGATCCTTCCTTAAAGGATCACAAGGAGTTTGCTTGGTGTACTTTGGGGTTTTACCCCTTTGGAGTTTAAGCATTCACCGTAATGCAATACCAGAAAGTGAGAGGAGGATCAACAGACGTGCATATTTGTATTTGCTTTGCATCCATCCTCTGTGTCTCTACACCTTCCTCTCTGGGAACAGGGACCTATTCCTCCTGCCAGGCATCCTCTATGCACATTCCCTTCAAAACTGGCAGTCAGTGCAAGGCTGCAGCACCTCACAGCCACGCAGAGCAGCCCAGGGCTCTGGCATCCTACCCACTGCTTAGACCAGACACAAACTAGCAATCCCCACTCAGTATTAAACCACAAGAAGCAAAAGCAAGGACTCTTCGATACCTTTGGAGCTTAGCAACAGCCACTCAGGATCCACTCCACCTCTCCAAAATCTATTTTTACTGACAGCTTTTGAAGCAGAGAATTCATCAAACAGAGAAACAGGTTGATATCCAACCCCTCCTCAACTGCAGGCAGTTATTTTCTAAGTGTTTCCTTGGTGGCACATACACATTCAACACTATGTCTACTAGCAAAGATGTCTATTTTCAGAATAAATACAATCACATGCAAAGGTTGTATTAGCAACAACTAATTAGAAGACATCAGGAGATAAAAAAGGATAAATCCCTCTTGGTCACAATGTGCATAGGACAAGAGACCAAGTCAATCTAACTGTAGGAATCCTTACTCCATGCCAGTATTGCTGCGCTTATACCCACACATGAGCATCAGGGAACAAAGGTTGTTTCAAGCTGTCAGTTATTGGCCATTATTACCTGGCGATGGCAATGGCAACAGTTGAGCTTTACGAGAGGTTCACATTAACACCACACACGAAGTCAACATGCTGCATTTATCACTGGGCTTACATTGTACTGATCTGATACAAGTCCAGCAATGAGCAGGCAACTGCAAGAAATATTTGTAGCTGTTTGGAGTCCTACTTATGTCCCTCCATTGAAAAGGATCCCTTTTGCCTCCTGAGGTGGCTCAGTTTGCCCCTGAACCTGTTCCTTTAGCTTAGGCTGCCTGAGCACTTAGTTCAGAAGTATCTAGTTAAAGATTTAAGGCCAGTTTTGTCACATGCTGACATCAGCTCCTACATGACCAAGAGCTGGGCCAAGAAGTCCCACTAGAGATAGAGTGCAGTGAGAATCAGAATGCCCCAGTCCATCATGAACTTCTGTACTACCTTCAATTCAATCAGAAAAGAGGGTACTTTTAGAAGTTTAAAACAAGTTACATGGACCAAGCCTAATGCAACCAATCTCTTTCCATTTCTTGGAAAGAAAGTCAAAGGTGGTGAGTTCAGATCCAGGTATCTCAGGTAAGGTGAGGTGAATCCCTCCTTCAGGGCATAAGATGAAAAAGAGGTAAGGATCAAGCTCCTAATGACTTCACTGAATTCATAGTAAGTGGAATCATGAGCTTACTTTTTCTTATCCAGGCATTCCAAACATGGTCAGGGAAAAATACACAGTGTGGACAATCCTTCAAGGATAAGTTCTCCTTCCAGAAGTGACAGAGATTCCTCTCCGTGTTACAGGTTACCACCTATATATCTCCTATAACAACCCATAACAGGCCATAGTTTTAGAGCAATTTGTATAGAGACTGTTTTAAGTACTTGGAGATTATAACCTTGCTCTTGCTCTCCTCAACGCCAGTGACCCAGCTGCTGGAAAGAGCAGTGGATAAGGTCTTTTTATGGAATCATAGGCTTTACTCCATCCTAAATCCTCTTCCCACTCTGCAGTCATCTGGATGTATTAATACAAAAGATAACCATAGCATTTTCCATTATATTTTCAGCTTCAATCTTGTCTGTCTGTGATGCGTTGAGCAATCTGCCAGTCACACTTGTCAATCACTGTTCCTGCTCCTTAAATGCAACAGGCCCATTGAAGTGAAGAAGCAGAAATGAAAGTCTGATACTTACTTTCTCAGGACTGCAATTTCATTCTCTATGCTGCTTTCTTTTCCCTTCAGTGCTTTCTTGGGAATGCACTTGACTGCAAAGAGTTTCCCACTTGCTCTCTCTTCAGCCAAAACAACTTCAGAGAATGCACCCCTGAAAGAAGAAAAGAAAAACCCTGGTTTTAAGTGGTGCCTTTTGTTTGGAAGCCGTTAACTGAAATGTATCATTGAATAAAGTTCTTCTTGTGCCTTTTGGAAGTTGCTCTTATTAACCACATTAATGGAATTACAAGCATCTTTGCCTTTACAAACATACACAGACATTCACATTGACACAAAGCACTAAAGGCTTACCAAATACAACACTTTTAATAAAGGACCATAGTCCCAGCAGAGGTATGAGAAGAAAGCTTGAAGATCAGAAAGTACCATTTCTGCACACAAAGGCATGGACCATGATCCGTGCTGATTTAATGATGATGGACTTTTTCCCTTCCTGAGGTTTTTGGAGGAGCAGCACAAATTCCCTAGGACTCAGTGACACACCAGTGCCAAGAGTACTCCCGGTTCCTCAGTGACCACAAGAGGTCAGGGCCTCCACTTCGGTCCTCACTGACAGCCCAGAGCATCCCCTCACCCTTGGCTCAACCCTGACTCAGACAGGGAAGCAGCGTCAGAACTTCTCTATGTGTACTGAGTTATTCCACAACACAAACTGCTGTGTATAACCGCTAAAGCCAAAGGATTGGATTAAATCACAGGTCCAAACAGCCTCCCTAGGTTACCCCAGAGAGGATTACACAAATAAAGAAACTTCATCACAGCAGCCAGCCACTAATTGCCAAGAGTGGGCAGTGCCTCTCCTCCATTCGATTATTCCATAACAGTGTATTATTTCTTGCACTTTCATCGCTTCCTCCAAAGCATCTGGACCTGACTGAGAAGAGGCCAGGAAAATGTTACAGTCTGTGCTATATACACATTTTTTTCTATTCTCACCCTGCTTTCTGAGTATTCAAGCATCATTTAGACACTGCTGGTCTGGACAAACCTTTGTTGTGGCATACTAGGACCATTCGCATGTTCCGGTGCTTGTTACTGATGCAGCAGTGAGGCACTGGGCCAGACAGAGCATTGGCCTGATGAGGAACAGCACATCTTTGCTCCTATTCACCAAAACCTCTTCCTAAAGCACCCGCTTTGTCCAAGAGTGATCAGAGAAAAGGACTTGTCTAACCAGATCACAACTGAAGGATCCACCACCTGAAGGTTCATATTTTATTTATACAAAACAAAGAGGCAGAAAGCTTTCCTTTATTATTTCCCACCCATCAATAGATTATTCTGCTCTACTACATAGCTCTCTGTGAACACTGCTCGGGAGCATGCTAAGCAAACCCAACCACACTCCAGCCCACCCTGAAGGTGTTAATGTTTGACCACAGCCTCATTTAGCTACCACAGACTTTCTCTGACTCACTCCCCACAACTGCTTGTGGATAAACAGAAGCATGGCCTTTCCTGACCAGCCACCTCTTTAAGTCATGAACTTCAATGACACAACCAAGCGGCTCAACCAACGGTTCCTGAGTTGCAAAACGACTGAATGAATCATTAAGCCTGTGGATAAGCAAAAGGAAGAGGCTGCTGCTTTGGAAAGCAAGCACCTGCTTACCCAGAAACGCCTTTTTAGCCAGCAGTGATAGGGAAATAGTGACGGGCAGTTTAGGAATGGATGCAAAGAGACTTTTGCAAACGGTTCCGGTGGATGTTTGACAGCTTGTGATGCTCTGAACCAAGAACATTTTGCCTCATTTCTGCTAGAAAAGACAGACTCTGACCACATTCACACCACTCTTAACTACAGGAATGATTCGCTGTTTTCTGCTTTGTGTATTATCTACCACGGCACGTCAGAGCATCATGGACTCCAATTTAGAGTCCATGCAACTCATTCTAATGGCTTGTGCAATCAAACCACTCAAACTGTTTTTTTAAGACATATTGTGTGCTTTCTTATTATCAACAGTCCCAGTCATTTGGGTCACCAAATGAAATTTGCATCCTGACCCTCATGCTTGGGACAGCCAGACCAGAACTGCAATAAAACCCTTTTACTGGAAAGCCCTAAGACCTCTCAGTGCTTATCAGCTTTGGTTACAGACCAGGGTGCTCAGAAACATACAGGACTGCTCCCAGCTATATTTCATGAACCCTTTAAACCCCAACTGCTTAAGCTTTCAACAAAGCACTTCACTCTAGCTGTGTCTTGAACAAGCTTTTTGCCTTCAGTTAAATGCCATTAAAAGCAGCATATTCATACCGACCGTTTACTGATCATACAACCCTCCCAGCATTTACAGTATTATAAAAACACAGAGAAATCTCATCCCAATCTGGATTTCATTGGTGTTCTCAGACAACAAAATAAAAGAAATGCCTTTATTTCCCTCTATGCAATAAAGGCAGGTTTGGGAAACACCTCTTTTTCAGCTGCCTTCACTGTGTTGCTGGATTTCTTTCTTCACTTATCAGGGCAGCCACGCAGTTCAGTGCTTGGAAACAGCCTCTGTGGATTTAAATGACATTTTTTTCAGGAGCTCCAAGATACTCATAAAACCCAGTTCCATATCTCCTTAACAATATTTCTCATTAAAGCATGAAATAAGCTGAACCTCAGCTAAAGCATTTGCTCACATGTCAACCCTCGGCACTGACAGGGTGCTTTTTCACATCGAATTTTATATGAGGCCATGGCATGAAATTGATGGTGCTGGGAAGAGCCCCCAGGCAATGGCGGGGGAGCATGGGGGCGGATCTGCCAGGAAGGCAGGAGGGAGATGCCAAGCAGTCTGCACTATCCTGTGCAGTATATGTGTTCCTGTGTCCACAGAGTAAGGGGGTTGGGGAGAGCAAGAACTCAATGGACAAAAAGATAAGTGGAGTGCTAGAAGGAAAGGGAAGGGAGGGAACAGATGCAGACACGGGATCAAAGAGTTAAACACAGATTGAGAGGAACCAATGGTATAGGGCAAGAAGAAAGAAATTATAGCAGGCAGCATCAGCAAGGAAAAGGCAGCAAAGACATTCCTGGAGTCTGGTGAAGTCAGAGGAGAGTCAGAAATAATAGTGAATACATGGGCAAGCAATTACCATATTTCAAACATACAGCTGAATTCATCCACCCTTAATGAACCTATCCGACCCCCACTAAACCCCTCTTGACTCATGCATGAATAGATAAATACCAAAGACAAAGTCAGAAAGACAAGGCTGCTCATTTTCTTGCGACCAGGAATATTGCTATGAGCAAATTGTCTGCCTCCTCAAAACCCTGGAACTACTGACTCGGCAGGCTTGTTAAAGATGACTTTTTTTCCTCCCAAAGAATTAATGTGGCCTTTAAAATCAAGACATTAATGAAGGAAGCAATTTATCTCTAAGAATTTACTATGATTCTTTATTAGGGATTAAACCTTAATTGCATACAAAGTTCTATAGAGAAGTTTGGATTTGGAAAATGTTGCATTTTACACCATCAAAGTGACAGGACTTCCTGTGAAAAGGATGTGGCTTCCATTAAGCATCATCAAGCCATGTTATATGATAAAAAAAGAAAGAAAACACTATAGCGGAGATGTTGGACAACCAGAATGATACATGTCTGCAGCTCAGACAGGGCTCTGGATTAAAACCCAACCTCTCCTAGGAGGTGCCCTATGTCTCTACAACATGTCTCTGTTCCCAAGACGTGCTATTTGCAACCCATATGCCAGTATCTCCATGGTCATCGCACCGAGCCAGAAAGAGATTCAGAAACTTCTTCGTCAATCTTGCATTTTGAACCAGGAGGTTTTGTCTGGAATTTCATGTATGGAGAAAACACCATTTCTGTGAAGGCCACAAGCAAACAGGGATATTTTTTTATTCTGTGAAATACTGAGATATTGAGAAGGTGTTTGTGAAAATATTTGGTGAATTTTATTCTCCTTCCTCCCCCAAAAAATATGGTTGAAAAAAAATATTTTCACACTCTGATACAGAAACAATTTTTTTTTTTTTAATAAGGAGAAGAGGTTAAGTGATTAAAAGTTATGATTTTAAAGGCATCTACAATGGTTGAAATGTCTCATTCTCTTCAGCTGGGAGAGAGGTAATTGTAACCTTCCCAAGGTGCCTGTAGACCCTGCCTTTGCCTCTCTAAAGAGAGGCTTCAACACCTTCAGGAGCTCTCCTTGTCCTGGCTGGACATTATAGCAAATAAATAAAAAAACATCACGGTTTTGAGGAAGTAGGACAGCTATGGAAATGGGTGAGAAACTTCTGCAAAATCAAACCACCTTTAGCTGCTGAGATACATGCGTGACAACAACCTATTTTTGCAAGTTTTGACCATGTTACCATTTACTCTACAGGATCCATTCTTTTCAAACTTCTAATTAAGGCATGGAATAATTTTATGATCTAGATCATTCTTAATATGATTAGGAACAATGGGGGGGGGAGAGGTTAAATGACTTGATGAGTGACATTGAGATAACGGCAAATTCTAGAAGGTGATCAAGATGTTAAGACTTCTCACCTTTTTGCATGTATCATGCATCTGGTCCATGCAGATCTTATGAGATGCCAATCTTTTATAGTTTTAATTATTTCTCATCTGGTTATTTTCTTTAATCTAGATTTAAAGGTTAGGACTTTAACATTAACATTAGAATACAAATACCATTCATACCTAAACAGACTGGATTTTCTATTAGAAAACAATGGCTGTAAGGCTAGGCTATCCTGCAGATCAAAGCAAAATAAAGGACAAGTAACTTTTTCCTTCATCTGTTTGAACTATAATTTAATATGAACACTTAATTTCTGAAATACAATGAGCAACATAGACTGTGACAGCAAGTCTGTTCTTATTCTCAAAAAGAATTGCTGTCACAAAAATACTAACAAAGTGAAGACAAAGAGTTGATGGAGGGATAAAACTTAATTTTTCCATTTGCAGAGACCTCCACGTTGAGCAGTTTTCCACTGCATTAGCAGGTGCTTTGCCATACTAAATCAACAGACATAGCTAGGAAACAGATTTTACATCTTCGGGCTGTGTATAGCTAATGATCTTAATTATGATACACTTGGTTTTCTGTGTGGACT